TACCGAATTGGACGTATACCAAACCAACCTTTCCCATAAGAAGTAATGTAAAAATGATTAATCCATTCTCATGTAAAAAAAAATGGCTGGCTTTAAACACCTTACTTTCCTGGCTAGTTCCTGCTTGATTTTTTATGAGATCAGCATGTATATTTTTAGCTTTCTCGCAAATAATTGCTTCCGATACGCTGTCTCCAGCACATTGTTTTTCAGTTATCCAAAGCAAAAGCAATTTCTCAACATGATCTAATGTCTTTGATCTCTGTTTAGAAATTGATTTAAATCTTTTCGCAACGTTAACAGATTTAATAATATCTTTATTTTTCACGATTGTCAATATTGTCGTTCTCAGAATATGGTATGCAACAGTTAAAATCTCGAACACGCATGCCACCTTCATATTTTTCAACAATCTCTTTTTTCCATTGTGATTCTAGTCATTTTTTTAGTTTTCTGTTGCTTTTCATTTGCCTTTTTGCAATTCATGATTAATAAAAATAATAAAATTTTACTTACAAATTAAAATCAGAAGAAATTTAACAAAGTTATAAACCAATGCACCATGAATGTCTAGTCTGGTCTAGTAGTACACTGATAGTGCTACTTGTTCATAGATGGCATGTATAATTATAAGTCGTATACTGAACAAAAGTTGTATACCGAGCAAAATTTGTTTTGTCCAAACAGGACGTATTTCGAATTGGACGCATTCTAAAGCAGACATATACCGAGGTACCACTGTATTTTAATTTAACTGGAATAAATTATGAAAACAATTAACTATAAAATAATAATTGTACCATTGTTTTGAATTGTAACCCTGTAACAGAGTAAATAATTCTTAATATGAGTAAAAACTTGCTCACTATTATTTTATTAAATAAAAAGTTATCATATCTAAAAAAATTATTTCTAAAGTCAAGGAATTAAATTATATATTTTCATGAAATAATTTATGTTACAGCAGCATATATATTTTATATTATTGAAGATTAGATATTTTCTATTTAAGAATTTATTAAATTTCTTTAAAAATGCCTATTGCATCATATCTTAGGATTACAGTTATAAAAGTTACAGATATGAATAAAAAAAAAAGAGTTAATCTATAATATAACATAAAAAAGCTTTTATAATATATGTTGTTTCAAAAAAGAAACATATACAGATAACACAAACATAATAAATATTAAACAAAATATGAGTACTTTACATTCCAAATCAAGATATTGAAAGGTTTTAACAATCCTGAATGAAGATAGACAACTTTATGCAATTCTGATTTATCTAATTATTCATATAAAAGCTTTCACTTTACACAGAAATAATTTATGTACTATTGAACTTAGATATTAATAAATTATCTACTATTGAGGATATCATTCAGACATGTAATTCACTGTTTCACTTATCTGCTTTAACTTTGTACAGTAGCTTCGTAATATTTTAATTTTTCATTTTCAGAATAGCATATTTCAGCAAATAAGTGTAATAGCAATTTTATTCAATAATTTTTAATTAATTTAACATATTTTGTTGAATATTTATTTAGTTTATTATTTTTTATGTTTATGTATATTTTTATGTTTTATTTTTGAAAGAACGTATATTATAAAGGCTTTTTATGATATGTTTTTATAGATTAACTCTTTTTTTTGTTAAATACAACTTAGAAATTTCTTAATTTAGCAAGTTTTTATTGTTTAATGAATTAATTGATGAAAATAGATAAAATTTGTCAAATTCTTTTGTATGAATAATATGAATAAAAAATTATTTAGCATTTTTTTTGCTCAGATTTATATTATATAATTTTTAAAATGTGGATTTAATGTTAATGAACATAATTGTTATTTGTCAAAAACTTATGTTTTATTTTTATTTTGTATAGTTTTTTGTGTTATTCATGAAAATAATCCTAATTTCATTTTGTTAAGTTTATTACATTTGTTAGATATACAGTATTTAGATAAATTGAAATATTTTTCATTTTAGTTTCTTGCTGTTTGCAAAAAATTATTTATATTGGTTTTTTAAAGTTTTAGTCATAAACATTTTCATTATTATAATTTAAAGATATATTGAATTTCAGACACCTCTTCATGTGGCAGCTGAAAATGGACATTTGTCAACAGTTGAATTATTAACAGAATTTCAAGCAAATCTTTTGGCTAAAGATATTAATGGTCTAACAGCATTAGATTTGGCTGAGAAAAGTGATCATCCTCAAGTGATGGAAGCACTTCGTAAAGCTGCAGGTTTGTTATTTTAGTTCTTTATTATCTATAACAACAATGATGTTTTTTGGGTACAAAAACGCTTTAAATGAATTTGTATCATTTGTTTTTGTTTTTGATAACTTTAACTGTGAAAATAAAATTCTTTAGTATTCAGTTATGATTATTATTTTTAAAATCAATGTTCCATGATTTTAAATACCTGAAGATGGCCTGTAGAACAGGTTGAAAATGTTTGTTACAGTTAATAAATAATTCTCAGTGAGATAAGTTATTGTTGTGGAAGTTAAGAAACATCTATATGGGTATTAATTAAGTGATAAAATAATTAACTAAAGGTTTTTCTTATTAATATAGCAGGTTAAGTGCAGATCAGTACTGTAAAGTGAATCACAGCCTTTATTCTTTCTAGTGCATCAAAAAACTAAAAACATATTTACATATCATTTATTAAGTGTGCAATAACCTAGGTTTAAAATATGATGCAAAAATAAAGATATCAAAGACATGAACAATAGTGTGACAATGCACAAAGCTATGGCTTTGGCATTGTCACCCTATGCTTTGGCACCACAGGACCGAAGGGTTGACATTGTGTCAGCAAAGACTGCAATGACTAATTCGTCAGGACTGATACCACTTTGTCTTCTTTTGGGGGTTTTGGCTGCTTTTTTTTTCAGCCAAAACCCCAAAAGAAGGTATAGATGGATGTAAGCAGGACAACTGTATGTCATCAGTTCCCTTTTCAGAAATTTTTGTAATTTTAATTGGATGGGTTTTGTGTTTTTTTAAAAGGACTCTGTAATTTTCTAGCGATAAGCAGCCTACAAAGAAAGGTCAGTCGCTGAGAATGTGTTAGTCTTGGAACACAAAAAATAAATGGTGATCCTTTTTGGACAGTTTTGCCTTCAATTTTATTAATAATGTTGTTTATTTAATTTTCAATATTTAAAGAATCAAGTTAATACAATCAAACAATCAACAAATTAGTTAATAGAATCAATCATCAATCAAGTAAAAAACTGTAATACAAAAAAATCAAACGGTTTAAAATATTATTACAATTAGGGAAATGGGGGATTATATAGATTACCACCTATGGAATTTCAGAACTTTGAGTATATATCTGAACTGAGGGGACCGAGACGAGTTCAACGATACCCTACTTTTGGACCAGAGACGAAAAATAAGAAAGTTATCATACTTTTTCTGGCGATCGCATGATAAAATTGTGCGTTAATGTTACCTTTGGTGACTAAAATGGCGGCTCGTCTCCGATTCCAATAAACTGAAGAAAGGAAACAGTGTGGACGCACGTAACCTAACCTAACCTAACCTTTCTAATAAATTACCATAATTATTACCAACCAAATTATTACGAGGGCTGTTCGGAAAGTTCGCGGCCTCACATAGAAAAACAAACAAAATAATGTTAAAACTTTTTTTATTTTTTAATGTAATCTTTTCTGTTAGCAATGCACTTATTCCAGCGATGTTCTAGCTTTTTTATGCCATCACAATAGGTCGATTTGTCAAGGGTGCAAAATACTCGTTCACTTCAGAGATGACTTTGTCATTTCAGTGGAATCTCTTTCCAGCCAAGAATTTTTTTAGGTTTGGAAAAAGGTGGAAGTCACTGGGGGCTGTGACTTCCACCTTTCAGGTGAGTACGGTGGATGTGGAACTAATTGGAAGCGAAGTTCGTTTATCTTTTGTTCAGTGATTCTGGCGGAATGTGCAGGTGCATTATCGTGGTGGAACAGAACTTTTTTCTTCTTCAAGTGTGGCCTCTTTTCTTCGATTTCTTTCTTCAGTTTTTCCAAAAGTTCACAGTAATAGACAGCATTAATGGTCTTTCCTCTTTCTAGGT